AGGTCACAAGCCCTCAACATGGGGGGTGTGCTTTGGGGCAGGGGGGGGGGGGCTCCCCCCCAAAGCACCTTGTCCCCATGTTGATGGGGACAAGGGCCCTCTTCCCCACAACCCTGGCCGGTGGTTGGGGGTCTGCGGGCAGGGGCTTATCATAATCTGGAAGCCCCCTTTAACAAGGGGGCCGCCAGATCCCGGCCCCCCCATGTGAATGAGTATGCAGTACATGATACCGCTACTCATTCAAAAAAAAACAAAGTGTAGTGTAAAACCGCAGACAGGGTCTCTGACAAGTCCTTTAATAAAACAATGTCCCCCGAAGTAGATCCAACGTCAATCACGGTGTCACGGCAGTGACCCGAAAAAACAAAAAAAAACAAAAAACCGTTCTGCTCCCGACGGAGGCTACAAGCCTTATGCAGTGATCCAGGGTGACATTTCTTATATAGGTAAGGGGCGGGGCCAGCAGGGGACATTATCTGAGTGACCCGCCCCATGTAACATCAATGATGTCCCCCGACTGGCCCCGTCCCTTACCTATATAAGAGCTGTCAGTGAGACTGGCTGCACAATTCTGGTGAGCCTCTGTTGGGAGCGGAACGGTTTTTATTTTTCTTTTTTCGGGTCACCGTGATTGACGTTGGATCTACTTCGGGGGACATTGTTTTATTAAAGGACTTGTCAGAGACCCTGTACTGCAGTTTTATACTACACTTTTGCTTTTTTTTTTTTGTGAATGAGTAGCAGTACCGTGTACCCTATACTCATTCACGTAGGGGGGGCCCTTGTTAAAGGGGGCTTCCAGATTCTGATAAGCCCCCCGCCCGCAGACCCCCACAACCACCGGCCAGGGTTGTGGGAAGAGGCCCTTTTCCCCATCAACATGGGCACAAGGTGCTTTGGGGGGGAGCCCCCCTGCCCCAAAGCACCCCCGCATGTTGAGGGCATGTGGCCTGGTATGGTTCGGGGGGGGGTGCTCGCTCGTCTTGCCCCTTTCCTGACCTGCCGGGCTGCATGCCCAGATAAGGGTGTGGTATGGATGATTTTGGGGAGGACCCCACGCTGTTTTTTCTTTAATTTTGGTGTGGAGTTCCCCCTTAATATCCATACCAGACCTGAAGGGCTTGGAATGGATGGGAGGGGGACCCCTGAAGGGCTTGGTATGGATGGGAGGGGGGACCCCAGAAGGGCTTGGTATAGATGGTAGGGGGACCCCTGAAGGGCTTGGTATGCATGGGAGGGGGGACCCCACGCAGGTTTTTTTATTGCAGACCTTTATTTTTACATTCAGCTGGTTGTCACACACAGGAGACGTGACCGAGCGCCGTCTGTCAGAGGACTCCACACACAGGAGACGTGACTGAGCGCCGTCTGTCAGAGGAATCCACACACAGATTTACTATTGAACAGCGGCTACAAAACAAGCGCCCCACAGAGGACGTCTAAAATGTGTTCTGCACATGCTCAGTTACATCCGGCCATAGACCATGGAAAAGCCTCCAGTTCTTCACTCTCACGATTCGCTTTAAAAAAAAATTTTTTTACACATTTTAAACATTTTTTGAAATGTCAGATATTGTTTACAGTGAAGTCGGGATATTTGTGAAAGCAGATTTCAGTGTGAACGTCTCTGCCGCGATCTTTCATGGGGTTAGCCACGCCTCTTACAAGTCTGCTTTTTGGGTGTGATTCCTGATCTGTGTCTCGTTAGTAAATTCCATTTGGCGTCTACTTGTTGGCGCTTCTCTTTAGTAAATCTCTTAGCGGGTAAAAGTAGACGTTCGCCCACGGAAATGCGCCCAGGCACGATAGTAAATCAGGGCCACCATGGTTCAGCCAATCCCTTTCTTCATCCCTTTAGTGGTGGGCGTGTCTACTAGGGTGGTAAAGGAAGGGGCGGAGTCTCCCTGCTCTGTGGCGGAGATCCTTCATCTCTGATTGGTTGCAGAGTGAATGATAGGTGACGGTATGGATGATGTCTCCTTCATGAATGGATGAGAAATAGGCGGACTAGTAGGAGGAGACTTACTGTCAGGAATGGACTCGCCAATGGTGGTGGGACTCACCTGCCTTGGGGGCTGCAGTACCAAGGCTGGCCAGCGGGTGCTCTCAGCAGCCAGAGTCTCACTCCTGCAATCAGGCCATCACCTGAGGCTGATTGCAGGAGGTGTATTTAAGCAATGGCCAGGCCTGTGATCAGTGCCTTGGTGTATATTTCCCATGAGCCCCTGTACCTGCATTCTGTCTGATCCTGCTTTGATCCTGACTCTGAACGAACTCCGCCTGTCCTGACCTCGGCTATTCCTGACCACTCTTCCGCTCGCTCCTGGTACCCTGTCTGCCCGTTAGCTACCGACCCGGCCCACCTGACTACGTTGTGCTCCATATATATATATCAGTTTAGGTTTGGGTTTGTTTCACCTTGTTGTATGCATTTGTGTTAGTTTTGGGTTTGGTTGGTTGCACTGCGTTTATGTTTGTGTTGTCCTTAATAAATTATCTTGTTTGCACGCTATACCTGAAGCCTGCGTTTCCCTGTGTCAGTCCACACACCTCTGGTCATTCCCGGAGCCCTGACATTACACCAAGGCCAATCCTGACCAGAAGTGGCTGCACAGGGAAGCCATCTTGGTTTGTTGATGGGAAGGATGGATCTGGATGAGGTTGTGTATTTATCTCTGCTAGTGTTTGATGACAGAGAATATGCTTCTCAGGCTCTGAAGGAGTATCCCCGGGATCAACTGCTAGAATGTATACGGCTCGCTCATGTTCTAGTGGATCAGGGCACAGAGTTCTCTGAGGTGCAGCCATTGATTCAGGTTTGTGCTGAGTTGGCTTCATCTGGTTCCCCCGAATGCAGGGATGAATTTTTGCCACCATTTAGTGCAGACCAGGTAGAGTCCCTGGTGTGGTTATTAGAGGATGATGTGGATTACTTTCTGGAGCGTTATTCCACATGTTCACCACAGACACTAAGAGATTGTATAAACGCAGTGCAGTCATTGGTCAGACAGGCTTTGTGGTGTAAGCTGAGTTTTTTTCAACCCGTACTACAGTCCTCTATATATAAAACAAACATGTAGCGCTCCTATCAATGATATAAAACAAATAAAATGCAGACATATGTATATTACTCTAAAAATGACATATAGGCTTATATGTGTGCAAAATTGCGTATAACGCACACAACTATGAGTCTCCGTGCATAGATAAGTTCATGAATTAATTTCCAAAGTTGAAGCGTGAAGATGGGTGACAGTCTATATGTGGCAAACGAACAGTATTCGTGACATCAATGGTGAGGAAATGAGAATAGGATGCACTAACCAGATAGCGCTTTGTAAAGCGCATGTAGATGATGAGATCATCTGGGTGTGAGCATCTGGACCCGGGTGTTTCTGACTAGTGGCAACATCTATCACAGCATTTCAACAGGGTTTCCAAATAGCAAAGCACTGATTGTAGACCACCAGAGGGAGCCAGCAACCAGGATCTCTTCACACCAGGTATCCCAAGGCGTATGATGTGTTCACCGACCACCAGAGGGAGAAAGAGCTCAGGAGAATATCCAATGATTTCCTTAGGGAAAATGGGCTCAAGCAAAAAAAAAGCCAAAAAACAAAAATATCTAAGTGCAGGATTACTTTTATACAAATGCAATGAAATGGTAAAAATACAACTCACATGATATGCAAAAAGGCCAGTTGGCCAGACAGAAGAGGTCCACGTGGATAGAAAGTCACTGAGGGCAGCTTTCTGACATGTTTTGTGCCACGCACGTTCTCAAAGAAAGCTGGCCCCCTCAGTGACTGCTCAAGCATATACAGTATATGGGAACACATTCCCTTCAATTACTTCATAATTGGCGTTCCCGCCGTTCGCGCATGCGCAGTTCGCGCCGGCGACGGCCATTTTGTTGAAGCTCAATGTATATCGTGGCTTCTTATTGCAGACATAGGAAGTAATCAGCAAGAGTGTATAGATAGTCACTCTACTTCTGCTAAATATTGCATGTTTTTTAACAAGTTTTATATTATTGTGGAGTTTAATATTGATTATATGTAGGGGTATACACATGTTTGGGAATGTGTTGGGAATGTGTTCCCATATATATGCTTGAGCAGTCACTGAGGGGGCCAGCTTTCTTTGAGAACGTGCGTGGCACAAACGCACTTGGAAACCCTGTTGAAATGCTGTGATAGATGTTGCCACTAGTCAGAACACCCGGGTCCAGATGCTCACACCCAGATGATCTGATCATCTACATGCGTTTTACAAAGCGCTATCTGGTTAGTGCATCCTATTCTCATTTCCTCACCATTGATGTCACGAATACTGTTTGTTTGCCACATATAGACTGTCACCCATCTTCACGCTTCAATTTTGGAAATTAATTCATGAACTTATCTATGCACGGAGACTCATAGTTGTGTGCGTTATACGCAATTTTGCACACATATAAGCCTATATGTCATTTTTAGAGTAATATACATATGTCTGCATTTTATTTGTTTTATATCATTGATAGGAGCGCTGCATGTTTGTTTTATATATAGATGTTATCCTAAGAGATTTTCTGAGGTTTTACCTTTTTTTGCTAAGCTGCTCCACTACACAGATCTAGCGCTCGTTTCTTTTAGATATTTGTTTGTTTTTTCTCATACTACAGTCCTGGTCAGACTTGTTACACCCAGCCTCGGTCAGCGTGCAACAAACCAGTCCTGCTTCTAATTATTCCTCTGCTCAAAGCTCTCTTCCTTCATTCCCGACAGCATCCCCCAGTGACAGCCCAGTATACCCTGCTACCTACCACATGTCAGTCCCCTGCTCCCACTTGCTGCACCTATCCTGCCTTTAACCCTGTAAAAAGAGGCCGCTGTAACAACTATTTCCCTCCTCTGTTCCATCCTCCAGCTCTTCTCTGTCCTCAGCTACTCCCTCCATTTACAGACCAGCATTTACTTGCAGTGCCCCAGTAACTAAACCCAAGAAGAAGCGAAAATTCTTTCCAGAACCAGTACCATCCTACCAGTATCCAAACCGGTCAGCCTGCCGTCTGTGAACCCGCCTTCCATTGTTCAGCCTGATGCCCTGATGCCTGATGACCCAGTGTACGCTACCCGGCCTGATAATCCAGTGTACGCTACCCAGCCTGATAATCCAGTGTACGCTACCCAGCCTGATAATCCAGTGTACGCTACCCAGCCTGATAATCCAGTGTACGCTACCCGGCCTGATGACCTGATCCGGCCTGATGATCCTATCCAGCTTGATGATCTGGTGCCCCGCTACCCAGCCTGATGGTCCGCTACCCAGCCTGATGGCCAGATCCAGTCTGATGGCCCAATCCAGCTTGATGATTTGGTGTACGCTACACAGCCTGATGACCCGATCCAGCCTGATGACCCGATCCAGCCTGATGATCTGGTGCCCGCTACCCAGCCCTGATGGCCCGATCCGGCCTGATGGGCCGATCTTGCCTGATGACCCGATCCGGCCTGATGACTCGGTGCCCGCTGTCGAGCTTGGTGACTTGGTGCCTGCTGTTCTGCCAGATGACTCGGTGCCCACTGTCGTGCCAGACAACTCGGAGCCCGCTGTTCTGCCAGATGACTCGGTGCCCGCTGTCGTGCTAGATGACTCGGAGCCCACTGTCGTGCCAGAAGACTTGGTGCCTCACTGTCGTGCCAGATGACTCGGTGCCCCGCTGTCGTGCCAGACGACTCGGTGCCCGCTGTCGTGCCAGACGACTCGGCACCCGCTGTCGTGCCAGACGACTCGGCGCCCGCTGTCGAGCCTGGTGACTCGGTCGCCCGCTGTCCGAGCTTGGTGACTCGGCGCCTGCTGTCGTGCCAGATGACTCGGTGTGCCCGCTATCGAGCTTGGTGACTCGGTGCCCGCTGTCGAGCTTGGTGACTCGGTGCCCCGCTGTCGTGCCAGGTGACTCGGTGCCCGCTGTCGTGCAAGGTGACTCGGTGCCCGCTGTCGAGCTTGGTGACCCGGTGCCCACTGTTCTGCCAGATGACTCGGTGCCCGCTGCTCCACCTGATGGCCCCGGTGCCCGCTGCCTCGCCTAAAGGCCTGGTGCCTGCTGCTCCGCCTGATGGCCGGTGCCCGCTGCTCCACCTGATGTGCTTCTGCCTGCTGCCCAGCCTGATGTGCCTCTGTCTGCTGCCCAGCCTGATATGCCTCCGCCCGCTGCCCAGCCTGATGTGCCAGCCCCTGATATCCAGCCAGTTACCTGACCCGGGCGGTGAAACATTTTGCCCACTAAGGACTGTATGGAGCGTCCTGAGGCCGCTCCTTGAGGGGGGGGGGGGGTACTGTCAGGAATGGACTCGCCAATGGTGGTGGGACTCACCTGCCTTGGGGGCTGCAGTACCAAGGCTGACAAGCGGGTGCTCTCAGCAGCCAGAGTCTCACTCCTGCAATCAGGCTATCACCTGAGGCTGATTGCAGGAGGTGTATTTAAGTAGGACCAGGCCTGTGATCAGTGCCTTGGTGTATGTTTCCCATGAGCCCCTGTACCTGCATCCTGTCTGATCCTGCTTTGATCCTGACTCTGAATGCACTCCGCCTGTCCTGACCTCGGCTATTCCTGACCACTCTTCCGCTCACTCCTGGTACCCTGTTTTGCCTGTTATCTACCGACCCGGCCCGCCTGACTATGTTGTGCTCCATATATATATACATATATATATCAGTTTAGGTTTGGGTTTGTTTCACCTTGTTGTATGTATTGTGTTAGTTTTGGGTTTGGTTTGTTGCACTGCAATTATTTTGTGTTTTTGTCCTTAATAAAATTATCTTGTTTACACGCTGTACCTGAAGTCTGTGTTTCCCTGTGTCGGTCCACACACCTCTGGTCATTCCCGGAGCCCTGACACTTACCCATTGGATGGGAGAATAACTTGCAGAATGGGAAGTATTAGTGGGAGAATCTGTCCCAGCATGCTGTGGGCTCATATCTGTCATTCTACGCAGAGGAGACCGGCTGCAGGAGGAGAGAGCGCTGACACCTGCTTAACAAGGTGTCACAGGAGAAGCTGTGTGCTGAGTGAGAGGAGGAGGAGCCTGAGCTGCTGCTGCCGCCATGTTGGGGATGGCTGGGATCCCCCCGAGGGGAGGAGTTTCCTCTCAGCTTTCCTCTTCTTTGTCATCTCCCTGAGGGTCACCGGGCTGTTGCCTCTCCTCTGGGGTGTCAGCTCCGCCCACTGCTGTGTGCTGGAACTGTGAGTACAGCAGAGCTGGGGGGGATGCAGCCAATCAGACTGCTCCGGACACGCCCACAATCCGGGGATTTTGTGATGTTTAAAAATGACTGTTTATTATTGTCATTTGAAAAATTACCACTGAAAAATGACAATTATTTTGGTACAGTTGAAAAAGAAGTTATTTTTAATCAGTTGAAAGTAACAGTTGAAAAATGACAGTTATTATTTGTAGTTGAAAAATGACAGTTGAAAAATAACAGCTATTTTTGTCTTAAAAATCAAAATAAAAAAATTATGTTTTTGTTGTCATTTAAAAAAAAAATATTTTTGACAGTTGAAAAATGACAGTTATATTTTTATTTTGTAAAAAAAAATTATAGAGTTTTTTGTCAGTGGCAATGACATGACAGTAGAAAAATTAGGGGTTTTTTGACAGTTAAAAATAACAGGTTTTTTTTTTTTTTTTACAGTGGCAATAAAATGCAGATAATTTTTGACACTAAAAAAATATTTTTTTGCTGTAAAAAATGAGTTATTTTTTACTGTTGAAAAATGAAATGTATTTTTAACAGTTGAAAAACAGTTATATTTGACAGTTAAAAAATGACAGGTTTTTTTTACAGTGGCAATAAAATGCAGATATTTTTTGACAGTGAAAAAAAAAGAGGGGTTTTTTTGACAGTTGAAAAATTACAGTTTTTTGAGTTGAAAAATTACAGGTGTTTTTGACAGCCAAAAAATGAGGTAATTTTTTGTCAGTTAAAAAAACATTTATTTTTGACAGTACAAAAATGAGGGTTTTTTTTGTCAGTAAAAAAATGATAGTTGCAAAAACTGACAGTTACTTTTAACGGTTAAAAAAATAATGTTTTTTATTGTCATTTGAAAAAAAAAATGTTATATTTTTGACAGTAGAAAAAATGAGTTATTTTTGACATTTGAAAATGACAGTTAATTTTTTACAGTGGAAAAAATGGCAATTGAAAAATTAGTGTTTTTCTTCGGTGCGCATGCGCGGCCGGCGGTGACGAACACGTCTCCCTGAGGCTCATCCGCACCGCAGGGAAGACAGCCGTCCCGCCACGCGATCCGGGCTCGCACCGCCACGTGAGCGGCACCAATCACCATAGCAACCCCCCTGCCATCAGCTGATATGGTCAAGGGAGCTCACTGGCATCAAGCGGCACCGCCGCATAAGCCGATCAAGGAGGGCCTGGCTTGAGCCTCCTCCAAGATGGCCGCCGACCCTGTACACAGCAGCAGCCAGCCAGCACCTCCCAGGTATGCAGCCCTGCACCCAGAGCAGCCAAGCCATCCATGCACTTCTGGGGGTGAGTCTGATGCAGACACAGAGACCCCCATACACGCCTCCACACCTGACCTTACAACCCCCGACATACCGGCACGTTCTGAAACAATGCTGCACAAGGCCCTGAAACAGACCTCAGACCGCATTACTGACAAGCTATCCAGGGAAATCTGTGAGCTGGGGCAACGCACTGCAGACCTGGAGCAGAGGGTGGATGACCTTGACACCTCACTTCAATCGCAAGGGGATGAGCTTGACCTATTGCATGACGAAAACATTATGCTTCAGGTGCATTTAGAGGACTTTGAGAACCAGGCCAGACGTTCAAACGTGTGAATTCGTGGCCTCCCTGAGTCATTATTGATGTTCAGATCCACTGTTACTGCGTTATTTCTAGAGCTTGCCCCGCTATTCCACTAGAACGCCTTGAAATGGATCGGGTTCACAGGGCACTCTCTCCGAAACGCACCGATGGTCCGCCGCGAGACATCATAGCTAAGCTTCATTTCTTCCGAACGAAGGAGCAACTACTACAAGCTGCCCGCAACTCGGAGTCCCTCACGTTCCAGGGTCATGCTTACCAGCTCTGCCCCACTTCCATCACCAAGCGTAGGGCCATGAAGCCATCCCTGCTAGTACTTCAGCAGCATAGTATACCATATAAATGGTGCTTCCCCTTTGCGGTGTGTTTCCGGTATCAAGCCCGGGACCACATATGTAAGTCCACAGACGAGCTTCTGGACGCATTACGGAACCTCCAGTTGCACCCTCCCGCAGCACCGTCAGAGAATTCCAGAAGACGATCGGCATCGTGCTCACCACAGAAGTCTCAGCCGCCACGGACCCCCAATGGTCAACTCAACACCCACATACTGGGACGCTTCTCATCACCTGCTCCTTCCCCACAAGATTCTATGGACTGAATCCTGCCAGGCACATCTTGTTCTACAGCCTACTTCTCACGCAGATGATCGATGCCACCCACACAGTTGACACTTGAGAGGGTTTATTCAGTTGACCCCTCCCCTGACTGCAGATGCCGCACACCCGTATCATTACATTTGCCCGTTGGGCTCCAATTGTTTTTCTCATAACCTCTTCCTTTACAGCCCAGGACCTTCTTCACCTTAAATGCAATTTGCTGGTTTATTTCTTCGTTGGTTATGTCTGAGCTGCTGTTGTGCCTCTATCCTACTCGGAGGACCCTCGGTTCCGGCAGCTCGGTCGGTTTGGTCTCCGCTTCCCTGTAGTCAAGCCTGACTGGCCGGAGCCCGCCCGCCCCGAGGTTCTCTCGGTTCTTTGCTCACAGATTTTGTTGTTTTCTTTCCCACCAGGATCGCTTTAGCATGCTATTGTCCGCATGCTGTCTTCCCAGCCGCCCCCGTGTCTGTGCACTCTCCACTAGCCCCCCTGGTGTCGCGTTTTTCTATTTACACCACCACTTGGGCTACAACCGTTCCCCAGGCCTCCTGGGCTCTAGGTGCTCCTGGGGACCGCTTTTTGGCTGTTTTATGGCCTATTTTGTCCCTCCCAGAACACCTCCCCCTACCATATCCCCACCCTTGCTTCCACGTATGACTCCACGTCGTTGCCTGATTTTTTCACCCACATATCATCCTCACGCCTGACCCGCAAGATCCTCTTTCAGCTGATACCCCACTATCTCTCCTTTCATTACTTGCTCTCCCCATGGGTTCCCTAAACATTCTCACCCTAAATGTTCAGGGTCTTCGCATACCCGCAGAAGCACAACAAGGCTTTCCGCTCGTTTGCATCTTACAATGCCCATATAGTCTGTCTTCAGGAGACACACTTCACTCCTACCTCTATTCCCAAATGTTTTGGCCCTCGCTACCCACAAGTCTACGCGGCCTCTGCTGCTACTAAACGCAGAGGGGTACTCGTTGCCCTCCACTGTTGCACACTGAGATTCAAGACCCAGAGGGTCGTTATCTTTTGCTCGTCGGGCAACTACTGGACTTTGAGGTCACCAGCGCCACATATTACGCCCCGAACCAGGTTCCTCTGCCATTTCTTTCCCATCTCCTATCAATTATTGATTATCACAAACGTGGCACGTTCATAGTCTGTGGAGATTCTAATTGTATAATATACCCCTTTCTGGACAAATCTCCTCAAACCCCCTCTCCGCACACTCCCAAACAATCCTTCCAATCCATATTACAACAGTACTCATTGGGTGACACATGGAGAGAACTCAACCCTACAAAACTCCAGTCCACCTTCTGCTCCCACCCTCATAAGGCATTTTCAAGAATTGATCATATCTTTATGACTCCCAGCTCTTCCCCCGTATTTTGGTTTCTGACATCCTCCCCATTCCCTGGTCAGATCACTGCACTGTGATCACCTCCATTGCTTCTCTGGCTCCCTTCCCCCCCCTGATCCCTCCTGGACCATTAACGAGAGCCTGCTAGCTAACCCATCACATTGCTCGGATATAGAACTAGTGCTTAAGGATTATATTTCACTGAACAAAACCCCCGGAATCTCTCCCCCCTCCTTCTTTGGGAAGCCCACAAACCTGTACTACGCGGAATCTGCATCTGTAAAACCTCCTTCCCAAACAGGGAGAAGAGACAAAAAACTTCTTCTTGAACAAGCTTATGATCAATCCCACCTTGCTTTCCAAGCATCCCCCTCCCCCGCTAATAGAGAAGCCCTAGAACAATCCCGACTAGCCCTTGATC